TTGTGCAGCATCACGGCGTGGTCCATTGCTTCGGGCCACTGGTGGTTGGGTAGCCGCATGCCACGTAACAGTTTGCGCATGGTGTTCTGCAGAGTCCTGTTCATCCTTTCTGCTACACCCTGCTGTTGATGGGCGTAGGGAAGGGAGATGAGTCTCTTGATTCCCTTCTCCGCCAGATACTGCTTGAACCGCTGTGACGAGTATTCTCCTCCTCCGTCTGATTGAAAACTTTTGAGCTTAGCTCCCGATTCCCGTTCTGCTGCTGGAAGCCATGCCACGAAAGCCTCGAAAGCCATGTCGCGACTTGGTAAGTTTAGGTGCCAGACGTAACGTGTAGCGGCGTCGATGAAGGTGATGGTGTAGTTATACGCGTTTTGTCCGGGTTCGCGGTTGTACAAGATGTCGCTGTACACTTTCTCGAGTGGTGCATATGCAGGTGCGCTTGGGTTGTGATGCGAGACGAAGGGCTGATGCGGTAAGTCAGCTTCGGGGCAGGTGAAGCACGTTCCTCGAGCTCGCTGAAGTTCTCTGCCGTCGATCAGTAAGAGTGAATCCTTGTCAAGTACTCCAGCTCTTATCGTGTTGTTTAATACTGTGTTGCTTGGGTGTCCCATTCTTGCGTGCCAGGTTTCTTCGTTGGCGCGGTGTCCTGGCGAGCGTCGGTACATGTCGGAGTTGGAGTAGAAGCCGGCGATGATGTTCGCGCTTCTGTGAACTTCCCGTGGTGCCGGGTTGAGCTGCTGCGCCGGTGTTGGCGGCGTCTCGTCGATGAAGGGCTGTGCCGTTGAGGGACCGGCGACTGGTGTTGATGTTTCTGCTGCTGCTGCTGTTGTCTGTGCTGCTGTCGATGTTGTTTCTGCTGCTGCCAATGTTGTCTCTACTGCTGCCGATGTTGTCTCTGCTGTTGCCGATGTTGTCTCTGCTGCTGCCGATGTTGTCTCTGCTGCTGCCGATGTTGTCTCTGCTGCTGCCGACTGCTGAATTGTCGCCAGCGCCCTTGTTCTTTCTGTTTCAGGGATGGTGTGTGAGTACCAGAAGCCGCTCGGGCTGAAGTCTGGATCAAGATCTGGAGGATGTGTCCAGTCAGTGAAGTTGACGATGGCGTCGCTGTCGGCCGTTCCGAGATCGGGGACGAAGTCAAGAACGAAGACGTTGTTCTTGAGAACCGCCTTGCCGATGTAGAGACCTCCTCTCCCGTGGTACAGCTTGAATTCCTGGGTTGTGCTGTCTGCTTCAAGGTGAATGCCTTTCGCCATCAGTTGACTGACGCTGAGTAAGTTGTAGCCGAGGCCTTCTGCAATTAAAACCTTGGACATCTGTAGAATGACGTTCGTTTCTCGTGACTGAAGTTGAACAACTCCTTGTCGTCGTGTGCGCAGGTTCTGATTGTTGGCGACGGTGATGACCACCTCTCGTTGAAGCTGGTATTCTCGTTGTACGAAGCGTCCTGAGGAGCACATGTGTTGTCCGCAGCAACTGTCCAAGAACCACGTGTCCTTCCCGGATGGCTCGTTTTGGGCTATGGCAGCGTATGTCGGGTTCGGCTGAAGTGACTCGCGGCGTGGTGTCGTTTCGTCGAATTGCTCTTCTGGTGAGTAGTACGGTGGCGATTCTGTGATGCAAGAATCGTTCAGTCTTGCCATGCAGCTAACGATGTTTCTTGCTCCTTGCGCAGGTTGTCCCGTTGGAGTTGTTGAAGATTGGAGCTGGGTCGTTGGATTCGCCTGTGTTGATGCGACTTGATTGCTTGAAGGTCGTAGCTGTCGCTGCGGAGTCGTTGACTGTTGTCGATTCGGGCAGTGTGTGCGCGGGTGTCCTGAAGTCTTGCAGATGTGGCAGAAAGGAGGTACTGGCTTCGGTTGTTGCTGTCGATTGTTGTAGTTGTTGTGACGTCGTTGAGTGTGAAACGCGAACTCTGATGTTGTCGTCTTCTTTCTGTGTCGTTCTTCTTGCAGGTCCATGTCCTGCTGCTCAGCGTGGATTTCCCCCGATAGCGGGTGAGTGCGCCCATAACCCCCCAGGCCGACATGCCTGTAACCCTTCCCTAGGATCATCGGGGATCTCCAGTGGACCTCTGACACCCCCCCGCACTGGGATGCCCGAAGTGCACACACCGGGAATCGAACCCGAGACCTTCGCTCTGATACCATGTCAAAATCCCAGCCACTAACCACTGGGATAAAAGGGCTTGTTTATATAGCGGGTGAGTGCGCCCATAACCCCCCAGGCCGACATGCCTGTAACCCTTCCCTAGGATCATCGGGGATCTCCAGTGGACCTCTGACATGGTTTACGCTGTCTGTTGCTTGATACAGGCTCTTCAGGTGGCTGTACGCGAGCTCAGCGGAGTTGCCGTAACCCCGGTAAGAGCGTATGTTCTGCTGCTGAGTTGGTGTGACGTTCCTCAGCAGAATCGTATACGCCATCATCGATTGATACGTATACTGCTGCTTCTCATACTGTGTGCCGTTTGCTGGATATTGCAGGGACCCGTCGAAGAAGCCGAGTATCTGCGCGCCTTCCATCATTAACTCAAACTCGAATGACCAGGTGAAGAAGTCCTTTCCGTCGAAGGGCCTTGATGTCTGCAGCTTCAGAACGTGCGCGAACTGCGATTGCACTTGTAATGCGTCCAGTGGTTTATCTTGTCCAGGTGAAGGCTGCGGCATGAAGCTGATCGACCCGCGCTCGTACGGGGCGAAGGTAGGTTGCTGCTGTTGGTTTCCGCGCGCATATGACGACCCGTCAAGGCTCATGGGTGTTGCTCCGTTGTTGTTGCTGTTGTGTGATTGTGCAGGTCCCGACTGCTGGTGCTGCTCGTAGAAGGACATGAAGGAGAAGAACTTCTCCATTATACTCGGGTCGAAGTTCGCGGGGTGATTTGCGGGAGTTTCAGTAGATGTTACTCTTGGTCTTGTTGCCGTGCCTTCCTCTGTCTGCAGGCCAGAGGCAGGAGGTGGAGTAGGAGTAGTGCCTGGGGAGCCGTTAGAGGAGCTCCTTTCCTTGCTTGTTGCCATGTCTTGTAATGATTTGAAGGTAGTAGAGTTTCCCCTGTTTGCTCTCATACCATGTTGGGCTGAGATAGCCCCTTAGGATCTTTCAAGGGAGAACTCTGGATGGATAGTGTTGTAATAGCGGAAGCGTTTAACAAAAGTTTGTGAACCACCTTGCGCTGGTATGTGAGGGCAAAGTAGATTGATTATAGCAAGGAAGTACAAGATTATATAATAATACAAGGAATATGAAAGGATGCAGTTTGTAACTACTTTACTGTTGCTGTTGCGGTTCGATACAGTACGACTCGGGCAACTGCTCTGTAACGAGTCAGTTGTGTGTCCTTAACTGTCGCGCTGTATTTGTCAGGTCAAAGGTCGCTTGACCTTTGACTTTCGCGTAACCTCCAGCAACCTCTTTTAACCTCCGAGGGTTGACTCGCGGGTGCTTCGACATGGCGTGCTTCGCTTCTGGTGTGGTGTTTCGACACGACAGAGGCGTTTACAATTTATTGTTTCCAACACTCCATACATCGATCCCACGATGCCATGATCACACACAACCAACTGCTGGTAGCTATTGATACTTGTTACAGTCCTACAAGGGACTTAGCCCAGTGTCGGCTCAAGGTTGATTTTATGGGATATTGCAGCCGAAGTACGGTAGCGTATCAAGTTTAAGAATTTGAGGTGCGTGTTTGTATGCTACTTGTGCAATTGAATGATTATGTTAAGGCAGCTGTGTGGATGATATTGGAAACAGGCGAATGATTCAAAAGCTCCATGTGGCTGGCACAGAAATTTGAGAGAAAAATACAGAAATTGGGTTTTGTTGCAGACTATGGAAGCGCATCACAAAGCTAAATTCCCTTCTACCTAAAAGTTTTACTGTAACGCGTTATTCCCTGCACCGTCACACCTTCCCGAACCTTCTACCAACAACTGGTCAGCCCAAGTCTTCAATTTCATGGTGGCTAGTTCAAACAACGCCGACGCTGCTATACGGTGCAGAGCGGTTTGCGCATCTTGGGGGCGTTTTTTATGGTTTGTAAAATGACGAAAGAAGTGATTGGCCTGGGCGAGCTCTTCACCTAGTTTTTATGGCGCAACCCAGCACCACCACACCAACCAACCTAGCCATTCCCTTGGCTTCACGCAGCGCCATGGCACAAGCTGGCCGATTGCACTCCACTTTCCTTGCGTCGGTGTTTCGCAAGACTTTCGTCGTGAAAGAGGAAGTCAACGGCGAAAACAAGGTTCTATCTTTTAGCATTTCGCGTGTAGCACACGTGATTAGTGCAATTTCGCGTTACAGTCGTCACAGAGATAGTACTCGCCGCAGCGGAACGGCTTAGTAATTTGGTCTGCTCAAGTAGCTCGATTCCCCGCCTTGAAACGGCTCACGAGCACGCAATTTAGTAAACGAAGCTGTCCGCCGTACGGGTCACGCGCGTGCGGGTTACGCGCGTGCGAGTTACGCGCGTGCGGGTTACGCGCGTGCGGGTTACGCGCGTACGGGTCACGCGCGTGCGGGTTACGTGCGTCACACGGGCAACACGCGCGCGGAGAGCATCGATGGGGCCGCGTTGCGCCGCGGCGATGGGGAGGCGCGGCGACGTGCTGATGGCGGCGAGAGCGGCGGTGGTGGCGCTGGTGGTGGCGCGCTGCTGCATGCCCCTCGCACGCGCTGCTCCCGTGGTGGACGCCGAGAGTAAGCCGTTAAGCCGAGAGTAAGCCGTTAAGCCGAGAGTAAGCCGTTAAGCCGAGAGTAAGCCGTTAAGCCGAGAGTAAGCCGTTAAGCCGAGAGTAAGCCGTTAAGCCGAGAGTAAGCCGTTAAGCAGGGCTGGCAGCAAGCAGTCCTTGACCCTTTCTGCTCTCAACCTGACAGTACTATGCCCTGCGTGTGCCGTACCGCCCCGTGAGCATGCAACTTAAACTACTGTCCCTCCTGCCATCCAAACCTTGATCCCTCTGCCCTCTCCATGTTCCTCTCGCCTCTCGGTTGGAATGGTTAGTATAACACGTTCTTGTCTTGTGGCATGGCATGCTGCCTTGCGGGGATGGTATGGCACGGGTGGGACGGCAGTGGAAGCACTGGACAGTCTAGCGCGCGAATGGAAGGGGGTCAAGGGAACGAGCACGTGGAAGAGCGGCAGGGACTGTGGCAGCATGGATGGCGTGCGCTGTGATGGCGATGGGCATGTCATTGCACTGTAAGCATGTCATTGCACTGTAAGCATGTCATTGCACTGTAAGCATGTCATTGCACTGTAAGCATGTCATTGCACTGTAAGCATGTCGTTGCACTGTAAGCATGTCATTGCACTGTAAGCATATTGTTGCACTGTAAGCATGTCATTGCACTGTAAGCATGTCATTGCACTGTAAGCATGTCATTGCACTGTAAGCATGTCATTGCACTGTAAGCATGTCATTGCACTGTAAGCATGTCATTGCACTGTAAGCATGTCATTGCACTGTAAGCATGTCATTGCACTGTAAGCATGTCATTGCACTGTAAGCATGTCATTGCACTGTAAGCATGTCATTGCACTGTAAGCATGTCATTGCACTGTAAGCATGTCATTGCACTGTAAGAATGTCATTGCACTGTAAGCATGTCATTGCACTGTAAGCATGTCATTGCACTGTAAGCATGTCATTGCACTGTAAGCATGTCATTGCACTGTAAGCATGTCATTGCACTGTAAGAATGTCATTGCACTGTAAGCATGTCACTGCGCTGTACGCATGTCACTGCGCTCTAAGCATGTCATTGCACTGTAAGCATGTCATTGCACTGTAAGCATGTCATTGCACTGTAAGCATGTCATTGCACTGTAAGCATGTCATTGCACTGTAAGAATGTCATTGCACTGTAAGCATGTCACTGCGCTGTAAGAATGTCATTACACTGTACGCATGTCACTGCGCTGTAAGCATGTCATTGCACTGTACGCCCTAGTCCCCTTGCCTCTTTTTTCATTCCCTTCACATCTGTGAAACTGGTACTTGTGTCAACCTTAAACCTCGCTCTGTCCATTCCATCTTCTTCCTCCTCCCCACACCATTGCACAGCTTCATCAGAGAGTGCACCCTCACTGGCCCGCTCTTCACTGCTCTTCTCGCATTGTCCAATCTCCAGTATCTGTGAGACTCCTGCTATCTCACTCTCGCTTCCCCACTGACCCTCATGCGTTCTATACCCTCTTCCCCCCACTCACCTGCCATTGCTTGTAATGAATCGCCCATTCTTGTGTTGACTTACCTTCCTTTGACGAGCTTGTTGGTGCTTGTTTTTGCTTGAAAGTTACTGACTTGAATGAAACTTACTTGCATGTTACTGAATGGAGACTTCTTGCCCTGTTTTGCCTGCCTTTTTTTATATTCTTGTATCTTTTCTCCCCCATTACAACCATCTCTTGTGTCTCTCCCCCTGTTTCCATCCGTTTTACTGCATTTCTACCCCTACCTCTATGTCCAGCCCTTTTCTTTTACCCGTGTTGACTCCACCATCTACCATCCACCATCTTTGCGTGTGCTTCCTTCCTGCCTGCAGTGACTTGGAGTATTGCAATCAACTCCCTCGCTCGCTCCCTGATTTCATAACTGAATCTCTTTCTCCCAAGGACCTGTCAGTTCCACCTCTTTCTTCTCTCGTGCACCTCTTTCTTCTCTCATGCACCTCTTTCTTCTCTCATGCACCTCTTTCTTTTCTCGTGCATCTCTCTTTTGTCAGTCATAGTGGTCCACCTGTTTCCATCTGCCACCCCACTTTTCTCCCCAATCTACCAACATGTGCACGCCCAACTGCATGCCTAAGCCATGGAGCACGGTGACACCTACAGTGTCACTCCATCTCACCATGAATCATCTTCATTTTGCACCGCCACACCTCCTCCGGCCCTTCACACCTTCTTCTGCTCCGCACAGCTCGTGTGCGCTCTCACACTCCATTGACATGCTCTTTGTGCTCCCACCTGCACTGCCAGCTGCTCTCCACTCTATTTCTGTCTCCTGCCTCTCGTTTCTTTCCATCAGCCCCTCGTCTACATCCTCTGGACTACCGTCCTCTTTCCTCTGCAGCGCCCTCTGATTTTGCTGCTTCCTCCACATGCATGGTGCATGCATGCTTCATGCATGCTTCATGCATGGTGAATGCATGCTTTACGAATGGTGCATGCATGTTGCATGGATGGTGCATGCATGGTGCATGGATGGTGCATGCATGTTGCATGCATGGTGAATGCATGCTTTACGAATGGTGCATGCATGGTGCATGGATGGTGCATGCATGGTGCACAAATGGTGCATTGCAGGCGTGAATATAGCAGATATCTCTTTGACTCACGATCGCTACCAGAGCAGCTCTCCCAGCTGCAGAAGCTGCAGTCTCTGTAAGGCCGGGTGAGGGGCATGTGATGGCATGTGATGGCATGTGATGGCATCCTATGTGGATGTGTGAAGCCTAAAATTCATGTGAATTACTATGCACGGCACTTCGCCATAAAAGGGAAAGACACATGTTCCCTCCTTTTTCCATGTTCCCACCTCTTGCCTTGGCCTTCATTTTCAATCCCACGCCATCCCACACCATCCCACGCCACCACATGGCAGGCGGCTCCACTACATCAACCTGAGTGGCACCATTCCTGCCTCCATTGGCAACCTCACCGCACTCACCACCCTGTGCGCCCCATTCTCTCTCATTTCCACCCCCCTCTCTCATTCTCCCTCCACCCGCCTCTCTCCGATTCTCCCTCCACCCCTTACTCTCCTAGTACATGATTCAATGGCACCACGTTACACTGATTCCTCTCCACTCCTTCCATTCCATCCTCCACTTCAGTCATCCACCTTACGTTCACTCCCACTCTTAACCATGACTTCCCTTCCTGCCTTCCACCTCCCTGCATTCAATGCCTCTCGTTACCCTCTCTGCCCAACCCCCACCTTCGCCATACTCCAGGATACTCAGCAACAACAGTCTCTCAGGCTCCATTCCAGAGGCAATCAGCAGCCTCAAGCAGCTACAGGAGTTGTGAGTGGTGATGGGGAGTTGTACCTTGTGCAATCCTATCCTATCCCATCCCATCGTATGCCATCCCATCCCATCCCATCCCATCCCATCCCATCCCATCCCATCCCATCCCATCCCATCCCATCCCATCCCATCCCATCCCATCCCATCCCATCTCATGTCATGCCATGGCAGGGACCTGCACAGCAACAAGATGAGTGGCACCATTCCCGCCTCCATTGGCAATCTCACCACACTCACCACTCTGTACGCCCATTCTCCCTTCTAAATGACCATTCCCGCTCTCCATGTCTTCTTTCCACCTGCCTCTCTGCCAAGCATGGGGGGTTTGAGAGAGTGGGTAGGGTGAAGAAAGGAACAGGATTAGAGGGAGGGAGTGTGAAGATGAAGGCAACAAATAGGAGGGTGCGGAGGCAGCTTTTGTTGACAGAGATACCGTCTACTACTGTTGAAGTGTGTTTCTCAAGGGAAATGACTTTCAGCAACTCTTCTCGGGACTCGCACTCTTTCACGGTGCCAACTCTGGCTTTCTATTCTTCCCGCCTCGCTTCTCTCCTCCGCTCATCTTCTCCTTTCCTCCTCCCCTTTCTATGCTTCTCTCGTCTCGTCTCCTCTCCACTTCACCTCTCCTCTTTTTCTTCCTGTCCTTCTTTCTTCTCCTCCTCCTTTCCTCCTCTTCTCGTGTTTCCCCTCTGCTTCTCTTTTCCCGCCGCCCCGTCTTCTTTTCCCTTCTACTTCTCTTCCCCATCCCCTCCTCCCCCGTTCCCCTCTTCTCCTCTTCTCCCCCTCTCCTCTCCTCGTGCCCTTCTTCTTCCCTCCTTCCCTCCACGTCCATCCATCCACCTCTCTCCAGGAAACTCAGCAACAATCACCTTATCGGCACGATACCTGCTGCAATCACCGCACTCACTAATCTCGAAAGCCTGTCAGTGCTACCTCCCCGCCAGGTCGTCCCCACACTCGAGTGTCTTCAATGAGTGATGATTCATTTGAGTAATCGTAACAGTATCCTGGCCGTGTAACCTGCTGAGTCCACTCGGGGAAGGCATGTTTGGGGCAATCACTCTCCAACGACCATCAGCGCTGCCCATCTCTTCTTGTTTCTCCTCTTGTTTGGCAAACGCCATCCCTACTGTTCGCATCGCAACAACTCTTTTGAGTTGGCTTAAAAGAGGTGACTTTTGAGTTGGCTCAAAAGAGGTGACTTTTGAGTTGACTTAGAAGTCAACCAGCAGCGCCCCCCATCTCTTCTCGTTTCTCCTCTTGTTTGGCAATCGCCGCTCCTACTGCTCGCAATGCTACAGCTCGTGTTCTGCTGCTACCACTCGTCAATTCCTTTCTGCTTGCCATGGCAACAACAGTATCAACCCTGGCACATTTTTTCTTTTTAATGAAAGCCATCCATTCGTTTCCTCCCATGGCACCACGTGCTCTCCCATCCCGTGTCTTCCATCGTTGGTGTAGTAGAGCCATCTTACTCATACCTGTATTCATTCACATTACTTTATAAGTGTTTCCTCTACGCCTAACGAATCATACGAGAAATGAAAGGCAAGAGCCCACACAGAACTGGCATAGAAGCAAATTGGATTCGATTCGATGACTCAACACGCAAATGCTACTGTCTCGTCAACACTCCCCTTTCCCTTCACTCCCTCTTTCCCTTCACTCCCATTCCCACCCGCTCCTCTTCCTTCCCACCTCTCTTCCTCTCCTGCCTTCCCATCGCATCACAGCGACCTTTCAGGCAACCAGCTAACAGGAGAGCTGCCCTCCTTCCACCACATGCCCTATCTCACCTCGCTGCAAGCGCATCACAACTACCTCACAGCCGCAGCAGACGAAACCTTCCCCAACGTTCCCAGCCTAGCCATCCCTGTCAGTCACTACAGCGTGTGTCTGTTCCACCACAACTGCCTTGGAAACCACTCGATGTTCTGCAGCCGTGGGGAGAATCAGAGGCGTGCCAGCGAGTGCCGGGCGTTCTGCGGGGCGCAGTTTCTCACCCCGCCATGCAGCGGCCATGGCGTGTGCTCCTCATTCGTGCCTGACCCCTCTCAGTACACGTATTCCTGCTGTGGTGGTGATGAGGAGGAGCAGAGTCCCCCAACCAAGTATCTACCCAAGGGCCAGTGCGACTGTGATGAGGGGTACACGCCAGGGACTGCTGCTGGCACGTGCTCCCCTCACGGTATGCGTGCTCCTGAATGCTCTCTCGCTAGCTGATGCCTGCTCTCTCCCTCTCTTCCTTTTCCGCCATAAGCTCGTCGTTGCTGCATCTTTTCTTCCAAAGTCTGCTTGCTGCCGTGCCTGCTTGCTGCCGTGCCTGCTTGCTGCCGTGCCTGCTTGCTGCCGTGCCTGCTGCCATGCCTTCTTTCCGCCATTCCTGCTTGCTATCCCAAGGGCTCACGGGCCCGACTGATTCCACCTGCCTGAGGACGGAGCCAGTGGGCCGAGGGAGAGTGACAGTGCCACCACTTCCAGCCCAGAGAACCCGTGATTTTTGAGAATTTTCAAAAATCAAATGGATTCGTGCTCGGACGTCTGGTGTATGCCACCCTGAGTCTGGTGTATGCCACCCTGAGTCTGGTGTATGCCACCCTGAGTCAGCGTCGTGTGTGCCTGTAATTCTGTGCACCCTGCTTGCTCCTCCTTCACATTCCTCCAATACCTCCTCTGCAGCTCCCTTCACAAATACATGTTGGATAGGCACAGCCGTTACCACTGGGCCGGAAGGCCGTGTGTGTTAAGAGGGCCAGCGCACCGCACACACAACCCCCCAGGCCGCACTGCCTGTAGCCCATCCCCTCTGAGCAAACCAGTCCACTCCCTGTGCCAGTGTCAATGCTCCTTCCTTCTCCACCACTTCCCTTCTCCTCTCCACACATCACCTCCTCCCACTCCTCCCCCTCTCCCGGTCCACACTGCCAGCACCAATCCTGTCCTCTGCTCTTCCCACAACCCACCCTGTGAACCACCAGACACTTCAGCCATGGGGGTGGCGCTGTCTCTACTCCAGGAGCCTCAAAACCGGCTGCTGCTGCTAGTGGTGCTTCCTCTGACAGTGCTCCAGCTGGCCTTCGCATTGCCACTGATTCTGAGGCGCCTCAACCACCGCCGCCGCCCCACACGATTATTTTATTCCAAAAGAGCCCTTGCTGCCCGGCAAGCTGTTATGGGTGTGGAGATCACTTGCTAGTGCAGGATTGCCAACAGTTTACCTCCACGCAGGAGAGACTCACTATGTATCCCCAAGGTATTACGGTACTGCCACATGGAGATGTTCACTTGCTCGCTGTGATATTCCCTGCTTTTGAAGGACTCTTTTGCAAGGCTGCTTGTTTCACGGCATTTTACGTACGGTACCATGTGTTCACCCTGAAGCTGGTATTTATGCTTCACATCACAATCTCCACGTGCTAGGCAGTGTAAATGGTTTACCGCAGTACGTGCTAGTATTGCGGTTGGTACAGGACTTTGAAAAACACTGTTCCAGCTAAATGGCTACCTTGATTGACGCCTTTGCGAGGCAAATTAGCAAATTTTACCATATATAATATTAGTAATACATGATACAAGTAGTTTCGGTTAGGTTATCCTACTGCCACAATTGTCCGTCTTCTCTCAACCTTGCTCCTTATCGAAATACCGCTGCACGGTCAGTCCCAGCAGCGCCTTCTGCAACTCCCTGTCCCTTGCCTCCCTGCCCAAGGGGTGCCACACATGTCTGACCATTGCTCCCTTGGGCCCTGTCATCTCTAGATACGGCAGCACCACGAGCTGCTCGTGCCATCTCTGCGCCACCAGGTTCATAGGCCTCTGGTCGCCGAAATTGGGGAGTATGGCGTCGTACCACTCCTGTAGGAACTGTCGTCAGGTGAAAGTGAAGTGGAGTTGGCATACACAACAGCAGCAGCAGACAGCGAAGGAGAAGGGCGTGAGACTTCAGCAACGGAGAGGGACAGCGTGACAGGGAAGCACGGCAGAGCGACACAGTGGCGAGAAACGCAGCAGCAGTTGCGAAACCCTAACCCGTAAGATTCACCACAGGGCACACACCTTGAAAGAATCGTCGGAGTGGCTCATAAGCACGACTCCTGCGTTAAGAGAGTCGAATTCCGGGTGGAACAGGTGGTCGGGTTTCCCATCGTACCCCAGCTCTCCATCTCCATTGCGTGCCACCACCATAAACGGCACCTTCTCTTTGCCTCCTGCAAGCAAGCCTGTAGCTGTAGCAGCCTTTTGGGTTGACTCTGATGACTGGTTGCCTGAAGCTGAGCCTGCATCGGGGGATGCTGAGGCGAGGGGTGCTTGCAGGAGTCTGCGTGAGGCAGAAGGGGCAGGAGAGGAGGAGTTTGTCTCCTGGAAGTTGGCCAGATTGACTGCTTCGTCGAGGCTTTGATTCTGCTGCGCCTGCACATGCTGCAACTGCTGCCGCAGCTGCTGCTGCGACTGCTGCTGCTGCTGCTGCTGCTGCAGCTGCTGCTGCTGCTGCTGCTGATGTGCTCCTGCGTCTGGCCAGCAGCAGGTTGCAGGGGCGGGCTGGGAGCTGAGTCTTGCGGGTTGTGGTGGCGTGGCGGCGGTGGGTGCAGCACCTGATCGAAGAGGTGCGCATTGACCATCTGCCCCTGCAGGTGCGAGCTTGACTGATTCACTAGGCGATCAAAGTAACCCTGCACGAACCACATGCGCCACATGCACCACACACACCACCAAACGCCAAACCAGCACACGCACGCACAGCATGCACGCAACGCACCACCGCACGCACCACCGCACGCACCACCAGCAGCACATAGGCCAGCAGAACAAAGGGGGTGAAGGTGAGCTGCTGGGTGGACCGAAAAGCAAGAAATGAAGGCAAGTTGCACGGTTCGGAGGTGGGGGGAACAGCAGGTGGTAGCAGGAGCATGCAACAGGTGCCAGCGGACAGAAGTGGCACTAGTAACGCCGTGGTGCATGTGTGGAGAGAGTGTAGGGCGAGTGTGATGGACGAATTGTGGCAGCCAGAAAGGGGCATGGCAACCGCAGGTTGCAACGTAGAGAGTGCGTGGAACGTGTGCGCGTGTAAATGTATGCGGTCACTAGAGGTTGAGTGGCTGAGAGCGGTTGAGAGTGGTCGAGGGTGGTTGAGAGTGGTTGAGAGTGGCCGAGGGTGGTGTGAGCGGCCGAGAGTGGTCGAGTGATTGAGAGCGGTTGAGAGCAGCTGAAGGTGGTTGAGAGCAGTTGAGGGCGGTTGAGAGCGGTTGCGGATGGTTGAGTGCGGAGCAGGTTGCCGCAGCTCACCCGCTTGCTGGCGCGCGCGGCCCAGTCTTCGACGGAGAGGCGGTGGCCGTCCATGCGCAGGTACGCGTCTGAGTCCACGTAGAGCGCCCACCGACAGCAGCACTGCAGCGCGTGCTGCAGCAGCTTCACCTGCGCACGCGGGGGAGAGGGGAGAGGGGCGGGGGGGGGGGGGGAGAGGGGCGGGTGGGGGGGGGGGGAGAGAGGGGCGGGGGGGGTGAGTTGGGGGGAAGTCGGGGAAGGAGGGTGCGGCGCGGGAGCGGGTGAGGCGGGTGAGGCGGGTGAGGCGGTGGGTGGGACTACTAGTAGAAACGTCCTCAGTCATGTGTCATGGCACTGCTGCTACGACTCGCAGTCGAAGCACAAGTAGTAGAGTATGTTCGCACAGCAGCAGTGGTTTGTACTACCTTGTGCCACGTGGCTTTGCGCGAGAGGTTGTAGCCCTCGTAGTAGGAGTCGAAGAAGAGATACCCGTGTCGCTGCGCGTACATCCTGCCACGAATGCGGCACGAATAACCATTGCAGATTCCCAATTCCCGATTCCCATCATCATCATCATTCCCCAATCCCCGCCGCAACCCCATGAGGGAAAAAGGAGGGGTCAGAACTTCATCAGAAATCTCAGAAAGGAGAACGGATTTATCACTTCCATTCGAGTCGTCTTAACACGCCCATCGCAATCACGGCTTCGAATCACGAATAGTACCACGACTCAGAAGTGACTACTACGTCATAGCGCGGCGCTCCAACTGCTACTACAATATTAATACTTGTAAAGTCATCCCCGACTTCCCAAAAAGGGGGACCGTTAGGTACAGTGTACCTGCATACGAATTACACCTCGAATCCAAATTCCCCTATCGGATAGGGGCCCTATTTATTGTTTTAGTCCTCACTTGTTGATGATTCGAGACGACTCATAGTAAGGTAGCTGCGAAAGCCATTCGAAATCAGATTCGGCGACGCCCGCGCTCCCCCCGCCGGCCGCCGCCGCCGCCGCCGCCAGGCCCTTGGCGGCACCGGGCTTGGCGGCGGCGGCTACGGAACGATTATCCGAGTATAGAATGCACCCGGGCCGCAAGTGCGGCGAGTCGGGATCCGTCGAGGATGTAGAACTAATCGCGGCGAAAGCCGCGTCGCCGCCGCCGCCGCCGCCGCCGCCAGCGACGCCGCCGCCGGAGGTGGTCGCTATAATCAAAGCGTCGCAGGGCGACGCGGATTGCGACAGTCGGAGGATTGGCGACTGGAGGAAGACGAGCGAGGTGACGAGCAAGGCGACGAGGAGCAGGTGCTTCTGGTCGTGCCACAACACGGTCATGCCTCCGCGCGGCGTCACGAGCAGCATGGCCGTGGGGCTTCGCGGCGCGGCCGTGGCAGCGGCGGCGGCGGCGGCTGTGAGCGAAGATGATGCGTGAGCTGAGGTCATGGGTCGGATTCAGTGCTTCTGAAGGAACCTGTGGCGCTGCGGCGCGGGAAGAGTATAGTAATGATGGCACGACGCCGTGACGGCGCACGACTATGATACTACAGCCACTGGTTCACGGGCTTTTTCACGAGAAAGAAAGCCGTCGCGCCGCGGCGAACCGTCTGGTCGATCGTCGTCAGGGCAGTGTCGCAAACGGGAAGTTGGACTAAAAAACGGCGGCTTACTCGCGGCGCGGTTCACTGAGTGTTTGAGGGGCGTCAGTTGTACCGCGGGAATCATGAGCTAATACCTGCACTGGTAGGTAGCGGCGGCGCCCTATAGCAAATAATCAAAGGGGGACGAGAAGAAATGGGATGGGGACGGGAGCAGTGGATCGTGGGTGAAGAACCCCTGAACTGTAGGTTCGTCTGTTTGTTCGTCTGTCTGAAAATATGGGACTGTCAACTCAAGGAGGACGATTTTCAGACGTCGGGGACTCGTGGCCCCAAGATTGGGTGCGGAGAGTTGTGCCTGGGGAAGGTGAAGTGCAGCACCTGGCGAGTTGAAATTGGCGTGTGCACGAAGTGCGGAGAGTGGTGTTTCCCTTGTGCAATGCCTGAAATGGTTGGAAATCGGAGGACCCCAAAACCTCATTGCACGGCCCAAAATTCATGCCTCATTGGGTTACCACAGACCACATCGTGAGAGTGGGATGGAAGGTGGTGAGCTGTAAGACGTGTCCAGTCCCCTACAAGGCTATCACTTCCCTTAAACCAGCGTCACTTCAGCTAAAAGCTGTTCGAGTCATGCTTTACTAAAGTAGCTTCACGCGCGGCCAAATTCAGAACCTCAACGAAACCACCACTCCCGAAACGGCCAAAAGTAGGGACCCGGAGTCCTGGGGTCTGAAAATAGGTATTGGGGCTAAGGGACCTGATATTTTGAGCACACTGCAGACGCAAAAATTCGCCATCTGCGACTCTAACCACGCCCTCATTTCCAGCACGAAAGGTCCCGAATAACGAAGAGTTGGCGAAGGAGGGGGGGGGGGGGGGGGGGGGGGGGGGGGGATTCGCGATGCCTGGCAGGTCATTTCAGGTCGTTCATATTCGCGGTCCGAAACACCTTGAGGAGGGAGGGGAAGTGCAGCCTCCACGTCGCTACGGACAAACAACAATTGTTGCCAACTTGGCGTGACAAAAGCGACAAACATCTCCAGACGTGAAACTTGGCAGACCTTTCCGAACATAAGCAGAAGCCAAACATTTTGGGTTGGCTTCTTTAAATTCGAAGTCAAACAACCGCTTCAAATTGCCGATGTACTGTATCATATTCAGCCCATAAGCTTTGGTAGGTTCGCCGCAAATGTCTCAGACAAAACTGTCCAGCGGTCAGGTGCGATAATAAAATTGTAGCAGTACAGTACCGACAAGAGGTGCGACGGCTACAGTACTGCAAGGTGGCAGATGTGTGGTTGGGCCTTTGTCGAGTAGCAAGGTGCCATGCACCACTAGCAAAGAAACTACAAACCGTCAGTGAGAAGAGATAACAAACACGTTCTACAATACACGTAAGATTTCAAATAAATTATAGGAAGTTGAATGTGGCAAACTTCAAAACATGGTCTAACCTGGGTAACTAACAAGAACATACGAGAACAAACTCTACTGTAGCAAAAATGCACTATATCGTAGATACACAAAAGTGCATAGAAACTGAAGGGCAAAATACCCTAGCGCAAAATGTATAGTACACAAAAGTGCACTGTTCACTGAAAGTTACCGTAGTGCAAATATGCACACGCAGGGCTGCATACAATGTTAGTGCACTAAAGGACCACTAGCAGATTCGGTGTGGAGACACCAAAGTGGACTGAAACGGAGCAAGGGTTGCCACCCCACTACAGATACATCTGAAAGCTGGCACCAATGCAAGCATAACCTATGATACGTCATGGGGTAACCCTGTGTCCATCCACGAGGGCAGCTGCATGGCTGCTACTCCAACCTCCGTTGTGGTTGGCCGGTCAAGTGGCGAGTCAGAATCACCACCATCAGTAGCAGACCCTTCTGCAGGACTGCCCGCGCTGTTGGGGTGCTGTATGGATGTGGTGGGGGGTGCACGGGTATGTGCTGCTACGGACTGGGAGTTGATGGGCCGCTGCTGTGAGACTTGTTGACTGGAAAGTGAGGAGGAGGCGGAGGAGGAGGAGGAGGAGGAGGAGAGGGAGGAGGAACAGCCGGTGGGTGGCAGGGGTAGCATGCGCCAACGCTGCAACCCGTCTGCAACATGAGAGGTGCTGTTGGGAGACGGGATAGGGTAGACGCACAGATGGGATGGTAAACATTTGACGCCGATGGGTGAAAGAGAGCGAGTATTACTTGGTAATGATTACTGTTGGTAATGATGACTGTTGGTGATGATGACTGCTGGTAATGATGACTGTTGGTGATGATGGCTGTTGGTAATGATGACTGTTGGTGATGATGACTGCTGGTAATGATGACGGTGATGATGGCTGTTGGTAATGATGACTGTTGGTGATGATGACTGTTGGTAATGATGACTGTTGGTGATGATGACTGTTAATGATGATGACTAATGATGACTGTTGGTAATGATGACTTTGTTCTGGAGGTGGGGGCTTCGATATACTGCACATGTGAAGCGGCTGCACGAACGCAAACAGTGAAACTCGGGGAAGTGAGGAAATGGAGGATTACCTGAGGTTATCACCGATGCACTGTGGGCAGGAGGGGAGACCCTGCAGACACTCTGCTTGCAGCGACCGATGTGGATGGCGGGAGAAGAGAGAGGGAGGGGGGAGAAGGGGGGACAGGGGGGGGGGGGGGATGAAGAGGAGAGAAGCATGGTGGGTGGTGGTGAACGGGCAAGAGGGAAAGGCAATGCGGAATGGCTGTAGCAAGTGACTGAGCGAGAATGACGGGAGGGAGGGAGGGAGAGAGAGGGAGGGAGGGAGGGAGGGAGGGAGGGAGGGAGGAGGGAGGGAGGGAGGGAGGGAAGGTAGGAAGGAGCGAAGGAGGGAGGCGTCAGGGACGAGCCTTGGAGGGCACGCACCGAGGGCGCAGGGCATGCCGAGAGTGGCGACACCGGTGTGCAGCAGGGCGAGCAGGCGGCGGCGGTCCTGGGGCGCGTGGTGGTCCGTGACCAGGCAGCGCGTGGCGTACGACTGCGGCAGCAGCAGCGTGTCGCCCCCCCGCTGCGCTGCCGTCTGCTGCTCGCTCAACGGCCACCCGTACAGAGTCACCTGGGGGGGCGGAGGGGGGAGGAGGGTGGGACGGTGCAAGGAGGATGGAGAGTGAGTTTTGAGGTGCCTCAAAAATCCCCTCCCCACTGCGCTGCTGTCTGTTGCTCGCTCAACGACCACCTGTACACAGTCACTTGGGGGGCCAGGGAGGGAGTGTAGGTGCACGGTGCGAGGAGGATGGAGAATGAGGAGTTCCAGAAGAGGGGATAGCGGGCATGGAGTGGATTCATTAATTCAACAGAGGTAAACCGCGACGAGTTTCTACTTGCGAGAGGTATCAATAGCAGGCATCAATAGCAGAGATGAGAAACCTGGAATCACTAGGGAGCGGGGGAATGCGATGAGGCAGCACAGATGGTAGAAGGAAAGCAAGGGCAGCATGTGAGTGAGAGCAGGCCAGTACCCGTCTGCACGTGTTGAGCGCCAGCATCAGAGCCGTAAACCCCTCCGACACCTCTGGTAGCCCATCCTCCTCCTTCTCCCCCCCACCTCCTCCTCCTCCCCCTCCCCCCATCCCCCCTGCACTGCTGCCTTCCACCCTGCCCGTCTCATCTCTGCCCCTCTTTCCCCCTCCCCCTCCCCCTGCAGCAGCGGCGGCAGCAGCAGCGGCATTGCTGTGACCCATGAGGCGGTCCAAGTGGTGGGCCTGAGCGCGCACGTATGTGAGGAAGGCGGGCGACAGGCAGTGGTGCCGCTCGTGCTTGCTTGTCGTGCTGCAGCAGAGGGGATGGGGGGAAGGAAGGGGAGAGGCAAGGTGGGGAGAGAGAGGGTACCCGGGAATGGGGGATAGGGGGCGGGGAGGGGAAGAGCGCAGCTTTGAGCACGTGAGAATGCGAAAACTTCTAGAGCAGTGTGGCGAGGAGTGGACGTTTCCAGGATGAGCGAGAAGGGGGAGGTGATGGAATGGCATGAAGGAAGCATGAGGAGGGTGGGGAGGTAGGTAGGAGAGCACTGTCTTAAGGAGATATATGATCATATCTGTATACATGAACATATATGTATATATGATGGAGAAGAGAGTGTGAGCGTGTGAGAGAGGAGAGGAGGGAAAAAACCGAAAGAGGGATGGAATGAGGGAGAGAGGGAGGGAGATGCATGAGAGGTACTGACGCATGCCCCACACGGACTGCACCGCCATATTGGATTCACCTTCGAGAATCCCCGAAAGAAAAGAAACTTCTGGGACATTTTCTAGGATTCCTCAAACACCGCTTTTTAGAGTCATTTCTCGTCTTTGTTTCTCAAGAATTCTTAGTGAAAAGGCGGGCTCACTTGCGGCGGCGGTAGGAGAGGTACTGGCGCATGCCCCTCTCTGACTGCACCGCCACCAGCACCATCTCGCGCTTCACCTCGCGCGCGCCCTCCTGCTCCTCTGGCCGCACCACCCTGATGCTCGTCTGCAGGGAAAGGAGATACGGGGTTGGGGAGGGGGCAGAGGACGGGGGAATGGTGTGCGGAGAGAGAGGAAGAGGGAACTGAAGGGGGAATGGACGAGGGAATGGAAGGGGGAACATAGAGAGATGGCTCTGTTACGGGACTTCACCTCGCGCGCCCCCTCCTGCTCCTCCGGCCGGACCACCCTGATGCTCGTCTGCAGGGGGGAGATAAGCGGTTGGGGAGGGGGCAGTGGACGGGGGAATGGACGAAGGTGTGCGGAGTGAGTGGAAGAGGGAAAACTGAAGGGGGAACTGAAGGGGGAATGGACGAGGGAACACAGGAATGGCTCTGTTTCGGGGCATCTCCAGTCAAAAGGTCGGAGATATTAAATTAAGGAGGTGTGTTGGTTGGAAGGAAGGAAGTACGTAAGGCATTGAGTTATGGGCAAAGCGGTGCACAAAAGGTGGGATGAGTGGATGAGTGACAAACAACAGTGAGGAGGCAATACCCCAGCCCAGCAGCATGCACCACAGCACAGCACAGTCCCAGCCCAGCACAGCCCAGCCCAGCTTAACCCAACCCAACCCAGCCCCGCCCAACCCACCCCAGCTCAGTCCAGCACAACACCACACTGCACCGCACTGCACTCACCCGTGACCCCACGAAGCCGCTCCAGGGGCGGGCAGCAGCAGCGCCAACGCGGAAAATGGCTTCATGGCGGTCGATGTGCGCCCCACAGGGCAAAGCCAGCAGCGCTGCTGACTCGCCCACCACCGCACAGCTCTGGAACACCCGCCCCCGCACACTGTCCGCCTGTACGCAGGCACGCAGGGGGATACGGAGGGGTATGGAGGGGTATGAGAGGATATGGAGGGGCAGGGAGGGATAAGGAGGGGCACAGAGCAGAACAGAGCTGCAGTGAGGAGTAGTGCTGCTGACTCGCCCACCACCGCACAGCTCTGGAACACCCGCCCCCGCACACTGTCCACCTGTACGCAGGCACGCGGTGGGGAGATATGGGATACCGAGGGGTGTGGAGGGATATGGAGGGGCACAGAGGGGCACGGAGTGGCATGGAGTGGCATGTAGAGCCATGGATGGGGGGGTGGGAGGGGAACGGAGGGGACCGGAAGTGGAGAGAGGAGTGAGCAGGGCGGGGAGAGTATGTGATGTGACAACGCAAGGATGGTTGGGGATGTGGAAGAGAGTAGCACGAGGGAGGGGGATGCGGTTTAGGAAAGCAGTGCTGGGTTGCGAGGGAGAGAGAGTAGAGTGAGCAAGAAGAGAGAGTAACCCCCAAGCTTTGCTGCTGGCTGCAGACAAGTGCGAGACAGACAGGAAGGGGCAGCACGAGGCAGCACGGGGCAGCACGGGGCAGCACGGGGCAGCACGGGTTCATGTCATGGTTGAGGGGGAGACAGAAAGGCATGGTGGGCAGGGGGGATTCATAGGCACGAGTCCGTGGAACAGGGCCACGCAGGTGACTGGCTGCACGATGAGAGAGAGGCAGAGACAGAGGCAGAGACAGAGGAAGAGGAAGAAAAAGAGGAAGAGGAAGAGGAAGAAAAAGAGGAAGACGAAGAGGGAGAGGCAGACAAAAAAAAAGTGCTGAAACTTACCGTGGGGAAGAGGCCTTTAGTGCGCAGCCCCTTGGTCTTGGGCGGCTTAATGGCCTTCCACACCGCCTTCATCCCCGGCCCCTCTATCACCGCCCTCCGCACCTCCCCGCCCTGCTGCCCTCCTCTCACCACGCGCCCCCCCTGCTCTTGCTCCTGCTGCTGCTGTTGCTGCTGCTGCGGCTGCTGTATGAGACGCTGAGGCGCGTCTGCTAGAGTGCTCACTGTGTTGCTGCGACAGGGCAAGGGAACCGTGTGGGACAGGGGCGGAGGCAGAGAGACAAGGGGGGCAGGGCAGGAGTGAGGTGAGTCTGTGAGTGCTACGGAGGCAGTGTGAGGCAGTGTGAGGCAGTGGGATAAAGAGGGGACCGGATTACTTGACACTTGAGGCGTCGAAGACGGTAGGACGTCATGCTTTAGGTAGCGCGCACAGGCAGCAGCGCGCACAGGCAGCAGCGCGTGCAGATGCACATGCATACCTGAGGAGGGGAACGACTGTGTCGTTGCCTGGGGAGGGCGGGGTGAGCTCGTCCAGCCCATTCCGTGACACGATGAAGTCCTCCAGGAACCTCTGCGGCACGTGCAGGGCAAGCCCGCCCAACAACAGCACGCACAGGCACAGGCAGCAGCAAGCACACACATACCTGAGGAGAGGCATGGCAGTAGTATCGTTGGCTTGAGAGGGCGGGGTGAGCTCGTCCAGCCCATTCCGTGACACGATGAAGTCCCCCAGGAACGGCTGCGGCACATACAGGGGACTCCCGCCCTGCGCCGCCCGCTCGCCCTCCAGACGGAATGGCGCGCACGCGTGGGTGCCTGGGGGAGGGGGGGAGAGGGACGGGGGGAAGAGAGAAGGGGAAGAAGAGGGGGAGGGGAGCGGAGGGGGGGGGGAGAGTGAAGGGGGGGATAGGGAGGCTATGGGACACGCGATCATGATCAGACGAGTTAGGCAACTCAAGGCATCGTATCAGAATCGCCAAGGCTACTCAGGATGCAGCCAAGGTCACACGGGGTGTAAGGAAGTTCGCGGTGTAAGCAGCGCTATTCTCGAAGTGTATCCAAGGCTGCTGCTGGTGTGATGTAACCAGGGCTAGGGAGGCGGAGGCAGAAAGGCACGGCATTGCGGTACCTGGCCTGAGGACGGGGCAGGAGAAGCACGGCATTGCGGCACGATACGGTACCTGGCCTGAGCACGGGGCAGAGGCACGCATTACGGTAGGGCATGCCAAAGGGCTCGCAGCCCACCTCCACATCCACGCCTCCAGGCGCAGCCGATCCGCCCTGGGTCATGTTTCCCCCTTGAGAACCCCCATTCCCTTCCCCTGCTCGCAGCACAGGGGCACAGACGCAGCGAGGTAGACAGGTATTACAAGTGAAACGGCAGGGACGCAGAGAGGCAGACCGTGGGTACGACAGGCCAGAGAGATGATACAACAAGCATGCATCCTAGTAGGCCGATCCCTCTCTTTATAGAGATCGTCAGATCCGCGATGAGCAGAATCCGATGCTTGTATGTCCACGTGCCTACCCTGCTCTGCACCATTCCGCTCGTCAATCCCAGGGTGCAGCTCCCTCTGCTGGGCCAGCCATAAGCAGGAACGGCAGCGTCATGTGAATCAGGGGCTTTAATGCCACTCACTTGTGAGTCGACTCAAGAGTCAACCCGGGCAAGCCATAAGCAGGAACGGCAGGATCATGTGAGACAGGGGTTTTTTATGCAACTCACTTGCTGCTGCTTGCCCCCACTCTTTAGCGCTCGCGCTCCCCTACACTCTTTAGCACTCGCGCTCCCCTACACTCTTTCCCTACACTCTTTCACGCTCGCGCTCCCCTACACTCTTTCCCTACACTCTTTCACGCTCGCGCTCCCCTACACTCTTTAGCGCTCCAAACCGTGAACTCTAGCACACGACAATGCACCAGCAGCAACTCCTTCTCCTCCATTTCACTCCCTGCTGCTTCCTTTCGATTCCGCTGTCTCCGATCTGGTTACGTTATCTCGCCTCGTTCGCACCGTCCCGCACCGCTTCGCACTCCTCGCACCGTCTCCCTCCCCTCGTCTCGCACCATCTCGCACAGAACGTCTAGGCCGGATCGCCCTCTCTCGCACCGTCTCGCACTGTTTCGGACCAGATCGCACTGCCTCGCATCGTTTCGCACCGCGCACAGCTCACAGCAGGAGCGCGCTCGCTCACCCACCTACCCTAAATCACACTGGGAGGCCATCGCTCGAAAGAGATCCACAAACAAACACGAACGCGCACCAGGCCCCAGCCATTCGAGACCGACGCAGCGATTGTAGGAATAGGGATCTTTTGAGACGCCTCTGGAACTCTCTTTTATCTTGTGGGAATCCTTCCGCGGGAGGGGGGAACATGCATCGATCGGATCGGCAACTGACTCATGACTCACCGGCACCACCCGCGGCGTCGCTTCGAATGACTCCCACTCCCTCCCCCGCCACATCTCCGCGCTCCTTCTGGAACAGCAACGACACGCGCTTGCACGACTCCGCTATTGTCACACACCGCTGCACGCCCGCGCTATCTTCGCACTCCAACTCGCTGGATCCCCCACCGTTCGCCTGTCCCCCCTCTCCCCCCTTCCTCCCCCCTGAGCCTCCCTCGTTCACTACTTCCGCACTGCTAGGCCGACCGGGACCGAGCCCCTGGGCACTTGGGAGGGCAACGTCACGTCCCTGACTGCCATTCAGCTGGCGACACTTCAAACGTGACGGCTTGCAGGCAGATAACTGCTGCTTGCAGACGACCAGAGCCGCTTCCAGCCGGCGATATAGAGGGAGCTGATCCAACCCGCGGGACGCTAACCGCGTTGACCCTCGCGTCATACGCGATATAAGGACGCCCGCTGCTTGTTGACGTCCTCTACGAAGAAAACCGGTTTCGGATAAGTCGGACGGCGCCTGGCCCGAATGCTCCTGTATAAGCGGCTCCGGTTGTGGCCACAGCGATCCGGGCTGCGTTTCGCCGATCCACGCGGAGCGAATCACGTCGCGAAACATAAGGACGCCGAGGAGGCTTAACGAAACGGCCACGAGGAAGAGAAACTGCGGCACAGACATGCGCAGCAGCAAGGCGATCGGATTCCGGCTCTGGTTCATATGCAGACTCGTCTTCGACGCCGTCCGCGTGAAGTTTATTTTCGGCTGCCCGAGATGCGAGGGAGTGTTGGCTCCTGAAGCACTTCCGGATTGTACAGTCAGCATGGGTCCCCCTCCTGCCGCTGCATTGGTTAGCGGCAGCGCGATGTTGCCGCCGCATGCCGAGATGCCGTCCAGCGTGCAGCCGGATGCGAGGCTTGCGACGTCCGACGACACGGTAACCCATGGATTCTTCCCGTTCACGCTTCGCGATCGTGCCGCCTGCATGCTTCGGGAGGCGGGCGGGCGGGCGGGCGGCGTCCGACGATAACCGCACCCGCCGCGGATCACGCTTGTTTGGAAGATTCCCCGCCTGATATCTCCGAGTATCGATCGATGACACGATTAGACGGCGAGATCAAGGAATCGATGCTGGTCGGCTCGATACATATGCTGGAATGAAATATGGACGTTACTAGTATGGATCTGCTTCTGCTACCTATGCGGTTTGTCTGGTAACCAGTCGTTAAGTAACAATGGTTCCATGGCGGAGTTACGTGATACGGATACGATCCAGGCGATCCAGTCACAGAATCCGTACGCGTGAATCAAGAGTCAAGGTGAATCCGCACGACGTACATTAACGCAGCGAAGCAGATCAACGCGGACAGCAAGTATATGGAACGAAGGCAGACGATATTAACAACGATCTACATACGAGTAAGAAACGCCCGTAAAACGCATACTAAGTTGAGAGCAACGTCGAGCTGGACGGCTTAGATGGTACTAATATAGAGGGGATTAGGTAAGCTTGATGGTCCAGATTCGAGGGCTTCTTAGTGGCAGGGATACTAGAGAAGGGAAACATGGTTTGAACTTAGGAAGAACAAGAACAAGAACAAGGAAGAACAAGAACACAAGCTTTGGAAAACAGCGCAGTTCGAGTAACAACCGTAGTGTAACACTTAGAATCCCACTGAAACGTATTGCACACCGTGTTGAAACTCGAATAAAAGTCCCCTAGCTGATGAACAACACCCAAACTTTTCTCAGGGTGAACCAGACAAACCAATCAATGGTTGTTTGGGAAGTACGAAGTTCTCTATACAGTGACCGACCGCTGTACAGTTTGTGCTCAAAAGTTCTGACAATGTCTGGGTAGGAGCGGTGCGGTCGGAAGGGTAGACCGAGGAGGGGAACCTGGGAATTTGCAAACCCAGGATACACTCACCAACAAACGCAGCGCAAACACACCATATGTTCGCCAACGTTGCGGATGTGTTTAGCTAGCGAGGTTACAGAAATCGCACGGACGTCGATTGGCGTTGGTGGCACCCTGTTTGTGGCTGCGATAGGCGGGTAGATCAACACCACGAGCACTTGGGAGCTGCTCGTTTATTGGACGAAGCCTCTGACAACGATCCCTCGTGACCAGTCTCGGGGATGTCGGGGACAATCGCTGTGGCCGCACTGAATGAGCCAGCCACACTTCTGGCGCGAAGCATGGAACACAGGAATGATCAGAACGGAGCTGTTGTTTGCTAACGTCATTATATATACCCATAATGGATGACACATTCAGGGTGGTGTAAGAGTTCATTCCTGTAAAGGACACAAGTGTCTCAATCCCGTCACAAAACCTATGTATCGTTCTGCACCGCATTAAACCTAAGAGACAAACATTTGCACCGCACTGTATCTCTTTGTTTGAGACGCGAGGCTTTTGTGACGCGCTTTAGGAATGTGCCCTAAGTGAATATAAATCTCAACTGTATAACAAACACTAGACCTGTGTTAGAATATATATTTATATATATTTATGTACCTGCCTGTAGCTGTAGCTTTAGTGTAGTTATAAACTCTTTGTGTTGGTGGTTCACCTCCTTTGTCTCCTACTTGTACCCACAATTTTATAGTGAGACCCCCTTCTTTCTCGACATTCCACTCTCTCGCCACTCTCCTAGGTTCCTAACCTAGCCTAGCTTCTTGACAACCTAGCCTTTGCTTGTCACTAGCCACCAGTGTTCATTCCGTACACACCAGCTTGCCAAACCCTAGGGCGTTTGTGATTTTTGAAAATCTGCCAAAGCTAGTACCCAAACTGCTCTGCACAAAAGCAGATCGTCTTGTGGATCAGTTGTACAGTACTTATGGATAGAAAGAGGAAAAGGGAAAGAGGGAGAACAAAAAGGGAAAGAAAGACACCAGAAACAACTCAAACGCAACACCCATAAAAAGCCCCATAAAAATACTCCATAAAGAAAAAAAACCCAACCCGGATCCCCTACCAGACGTCCCATCTCGCACCCCATTCCCCCTCGCCCCCCCCCCCTCCCCCCCCAAGTCACATCTGCACATCCACCATGTAGGGGGCCTCCACCCAAAGAGGCCCGCCCTCCACCTCGACATCGTCCCTCTCCCGATCCACCAAGTCCACATTCAACCCCCCCATGGAAGACGCCGCCCGAAGCAGGATGACACGAGCTTGCGCCCGTTGTAACGCCACTCCGATGAGCGCCTTCAGAGACCCCAAAAGGTAAGCCGAGAACGAAGTGTCATCCTCCCGACAAGCCCCCCGTGACACAGCTAGCCCCACGTGCGCGTCCCCCTGTCAAAACATATGCATGTTAGTATCTAGGCTATATTGGGGCTAGCCTTAAGGGGTACAGAAACTCACTCGACACTCTAGTCTTGTACCCCAACCTCCACCTAATCACACATACTCTTCTCATTCTAACATGGCATCAGAAGCCTAGGTTAGGAACCTAGGACCACCTTGTACTAAGGGCCCGCCCTTCCGCTAGCGCCCTCGAGCGCCTTCTTCCTTTCGTGCGCCCTCGCGCGCCTCGTTTCCTGGTCGCGTAGCCCGCTAGACGACCGCGCGCGGCCCCCTTTTTGCCCGCGCGCGGCCTCGTTTTTTGCCCGCTAGCAGCCTGCGCGCGGCCCGAATCGCGTGCGCGACGACCATAGGCCGCTCGCGCGGCTCGATCCGCCCACGAGCAGGTCGCTAGCCGCCCGTCGGCCCGCCCGTAGGGCTTCGCGTCGCCCGTAGGCCGCCGCCCCTGCTTTCGTAGCCGCTGCCTGCGCGCGAGTGCAGCCCACGCCCGACCGCTCGCCCCTAGGACGGCGCTCGTAACGCCGCCGCCCGCCCGCAGGTCGCAGCCCGCGCGCAGTGGCGATCGCGCGTCGGCTGCTGCAGCTCGCGCTTAGCTGCAGCTCGCGCTTAGCTGCAGCTCGTGCTTAGCTGCAGCAGGACCCCAGCCGCGGCCTGCACGCAACTGCAACCCTAGGCGCCGCCGCGCACCGTGCATAGGCCCGCCGTTGCGCTGCCCTACCTGCCCGAGCCGCGCCGCCCTGACTGAGCCTACTGTTTAGGGTTTAGGGTTTTGCAGCACCTACTGTCCCTGTTCCTGCTGTTACAGCTGTTCTTCTCACTACAGTTGTTCCTACTACTGCTCTTACTGCCGCTACTGCCACTATGGCTACACCCACAGTTCTCTCTTTCGATGCTGAGGGCCGTCCGCTCCAGTTTGATGCTTGGCTTGACGATCTCCACCTTTTCCTCCAGATCACCGCTAAGGATGACGTCTCGCTGTATGACCACGCGTCCGGAACCGCTCTCGCACCTGCTGACACTGCTGACAGTACAGCTCGCTCCCAGTGGCAGACTCGTGACGCCCACGCTCGCCTAGCCATTCGCAGCCACCTGCCGTTAGATGAGCGCGCGCACTTTGGCCAGCACAAGACTGCTAAGGAGCTGTACGATGCAGTAGTCGCCCGCTACTCCTCACCTGCCTCCGCTACGATAGGCCGTCTCTCTCTGCCCTATCTTTTCCCCGATCTCGCCGCCTTTCCCACAGTCGCTGACCTCATTACACACCTCCGCACCAGTGACACTCGCTTCCGAGCCGCCCTCCCTGCTGAGTTTCTCGCCAAGAACCCCCCACCGATGTACCTCGTTCTCTACCACCTAGTCACCCGTCTCCCTGACTCTCTTCGCGCAGTCAGGGACCACTTTCTCGCCCTCTGCCCTACCGAGCTCACCATTGACCTGCTCGAGAAGCATCTGCTTGCAGCTGAGGCTAGTATAGTTGCTGTAGGTGCCTCTCGTGGCGACCCCCGCACGCCCTTCTTCGACGGGTGTTCCCCTTCCCCCCTTCTCCCCTCGGTTGCCTCTGCTGCCGCTGTCGACTTCCTCGGTGCTGAGGACGTCGGGGCTGCGTCTGCTCCTAGCTGGAGGCGCAAGAGCGGCAAGGGCAAGGGGGGCAAGGGTGGCGGCGGTACCAGTGGGGGAGGTGGGGGTGGCGGTGGAGGTGGAGGCGGTGGGGGGGTGGCGGTGGTGGGGGTGGTGGCGGGGCTGGGGGGGTCAGTGGCAGCGGCGGAGGTGGCAGCGGCGGGGGTGGCAGCGGCGGGGGTGGTGGCGGCAGTGGTGGTGGGGGAGGCCGGGGTGGAGGTGTGGTGGTGGCGGCAGTGGGCGTGGTGGCGGCGGCTCGGGTGGTGGTCGGGGTGGACCAGCGCAGCGTGGAGGCTCGGGTGGTGCCCAGCGCCAGCAGCAGCGTCTTGGAGAGACCCCGTCGTCCCAGCAGCTTCGTGAGTGGTACTCTCAGCATGGGGGGTCTGGGGGTGGAGGCACCTGCACGTATGTCATCCGCACCGGTGACCGCGCTGGTCAGACGTGTGGGCGTTTCCACACGCCGCACCGCTGCTTCTTTCGTCTAGACGATGCCTGGCGTGCACAGTTCCCGGAGGCCTCTGAGCTGCCCCGCTGGGCTGATCTGCTTAAAGCAAGCGTATACATTTGAAAGTACTGTTGCTTTGGAACAGTACCCTCCCTCAGAGACAACCCCAACGAAAACGATGTGGGGTTCGCGAACAGACTGGGCGAAAATTTGGAAGGGAGATGCGACCACGAGAACCCCTCCCGTCACCCAACTCCAGAAGTTGAGCTCATAGACTGAGTATAAGCGACTAATTCCTACCATAGACACTAACGTGCGTAATTTTAGAGACGAGGATTCAGCAAAACACAATACAGCTTCGAGGATAGACTCCTATACAGTCTTCGTAAGCGAAGTCTCAACCGCCAGCGCATCCCATGCGGTGCCCGCCGGGAGCATTCTAGATCCGCAGCGCTCGACACCCTCTCAGCGCGTCACCCGCATCGCGCCAAATACCCCGCTGCGGCCCTCATCTCTTAGCGCGACACCGCGCGCCGTGCAACCGCATCGCGCCAAATACTGAGCTGCGCCCCTCATCGCATTGCGCCGCACCTCTTAGCGACGCACCTCTTAGCGCCGCACCGCTTAGCGCCGCACCGCTTAGCGCCTCTCTGCGTAGCGCCTCACCCACTGCGATGCCTCTCAAGCTAGGTCGGCAGCGATTGCTTCCCGTGTAACCCACAGCTCGCCTCGCCGCTTAGCACGTCACCGGCTTCACGCTCACCCTCTGCGCGCCTCACCTGCTGCTCGCATCCCAGTGCGAATTTCGAATGCACCACAGATGCTGCGCCCCGCAAAACAAACTACGTCACGCGCTGCTCGCCGCCCTTTCGTCTCTCCTTTGCCGCCAACGCGCTCAGCCATTCGTCGAGCAGGGTAAATCGCCACCGTTGAATGGGCGCGCCGCCATGTTTGCAAGTAGCCCGTCGTCCAACCTCCATCCCCGTTCCCCTCATCTCCCCTCCCTCTTCCCTCATTTCCCCCCCTCGCAATTCCCCCACTTCCTCCTCATTTCCGCATCTCTCCCTCTCATTTTCCCCCCTTCCTCCTCTCTTTTCCCCCCGCCTCCCTCGTTATTTCCCTCACTGCTCCTCCACACTGCCCCCCACTACTCCCACTCATTTCCCCCTTTATCCATCTCATATTGCCCAAACACCACTCCCCCCCCCCCCTCCTCCCCGTCTCCCCGTCTCCCCCTCATTGGCCCCCTTTCTTCCTCACATCTTCTCCCATGTTCCATTTTCCCCACTGGTCCCCCTCCCTTCTCCCTCTTCTCCCTCTCCTTTCCTTCCCTTCTGCCCCAACTTCCCCCCTTTTTCCCTCTCATTTCCCCTACTGCCCCCCCCCATTGCGCCGCTTCTCCCCCACTTTCCCCCCCCAGTTCCGCTTAGCATGTCACCGGCTTCGCGCGTCACCAGCTGAACGCGTGTCCAGCTGCTCGCATGCCCCTAAACTCATCTCACGCGCTGTGGACCGCGATCCTCGCACGCCGTCTCGCCATTTCCCCACTTCTCCCTATCACTTCCCCCAGTGCTCACCGGGGTGCACAAGGTGAGTCTCGCCATTTCCCCACTTTCTCCACCTGCTTCTTCTCCTATCCGCCCCCGCTTGCCCTCCTTTCGCCCCCTGCTTCCCCCCTTTTCCTCCATGGCTTCCCCTTCTTTCACCTCTTGCTTCCGCCCTTTCCCCCCCTGCTTCACCTCCTTTCCGCCCCCACTTCACCTCCTTTCCCCCTCTGCTTCCCCCCTTTTCCCCCACGGCTTTCCTTCCTTCCCCCCCCTGCCTCCCCCACGTTTCTCCCTGCAGGCCCCACGTTTCTCCCCTGCAGGCCCCACGTTTCTCCCCTGCAGGCCCCACGTTTCTCCCCTGCAGGCCCCACGTTTCTCCCCTGCAGGCCCCACGTTTCTCCCCTGCAGGCCCCACGTTTCTCCCCTGCAGGCCCCACGTTTCTCCCCTGCAGGCCCCACGTTTCTCCCCTACAGGCCCCCTGTTTCCCCCATGCCAGACCCATTTCTCCCCCCTGATAGCTCCAAGATCCCTCCGTGAGAGCCCCATGGTTCCTTCATGCTATCCTCATGTTTCCAAGGCTGGGTGGTGAGTGCATCGCTGCTCACGGCAGCATGTGGAGTGCTCACCAGCAAATGAACCTCCCAGTCCGCACACTCTCACTCACCAACGCTTGTCACATCCTCTTTTCCCTCCCTCCAGAAGCAACCTTCCTGAATGCTCGCTACACTCCTCTCACTTCCATGCCTGCATGCTCGCCCCGTTTTCCCCCCGTGCTAACATCAGGTTTCTCCCCAAGCTATCCCCATGTCTCCCCCATGCAGGCCCCATGTTTCCCCCATGCAGGCCCCATGTTTCCCCCATGCACGCCCCATGTTTCCCCCATGCACGCCCCATGTTTCCCCCATGCACGCCCCATGTTTCCCCCATGCACGCCCCATGTCCCCCCCCCCCGCAGGAGGCGATGTGTCCCCTCTGCACGCCCCATGTTTCCCCCATGCACGCCCCATGTTCCCCCCCCCCCACCCCGCAGTCCCCATGTTTCCCCCCTGCACTCCCCATGTTTCCCCAGAGCGCACACGCCCATATTTCCCCGTTGATAGCCCCATATTCCCCCCCTGCTAGCCCAATGTTTTCGCTTTTACCACTCGCCCCCCTGCTCCCTCGATATTTCCCCCACTGCTCCTCCACACATCCCCCTACTACCCCCTTTCATTTCCCCATTTAGGCATCTCATCCCCACCCCGTCTCCCCCCCATTGGCCCCCCTTCTTCCCCTCATCTCCTCCCTTGCTCTATTTCCCCCACTGCTCCCCCTCACTTCACCCTCTTCTCCCTCTCATTTCCCTTACTGCTCCCCCTCATTTCCACCGGCTCCCCCCCACTTCTCCCCCCCAGTTCTGCCGGCTTCTCGCGTCACCAACTGAACGCATCTCCAGCTGCTCGCATGTCCCTAAACACATCACACGCGCTAGTAACTGCGTAGTTCCCAGTAAGTAATACTGGGTTTAGGTTGCGGGAATTTCGGATTGGTCGTCCTGACTGCCCTTGGCTCAAATGTCCCCGAGCGCCCTCGCTTGTCCCTGGGTCCCCTCGTTTCCACGCTCCAAACCCTAATTACCCCCACTGCTCCCCCGCGTTCCCCCATCTCCTTCCCCTTATTTACCCCTCTGCCCCTCCTTGTTCCCCCCTCTCCATCCCCTTATTTCCCCCTCTGCTTCCACTCGTTCCCGACCCTCCTTCCCCTTATTTCTCCCTCTGCTTCCCTCTTCTCTTCCCCCCCACCTTCCCCTTATTTCCCCCTCTGGTTCCCCTCGTTCCCCCCACTCCTCCCCCTTTTGTCCCTCTCTACTTCCCCTCGTTCTCCCCTCTCCTTCACCTTATTTCCCCCTCTGATTCCCCTCCATCCCCCATATGCTTCTACGCATATCCGCCCTCTTCCGCCCCCCTTTTTACTATCTCCCCTCCCTTCCACCACCTCACCGCAGCCTAGGACACCTACACCCATAGAAGGTGTGATTTTTACACGAGGTGAGTCAACCTTATCACTCCCTTCCTCGCTCACAACATCCTCTCTGACATCAGTCTGCCCTTCTCTAATCACCCCCACTCTCCCACCCCCGTCTGTGTCCCTGCCTGCCCATCAGATCGACTCTCACTTTCGTCCCCGCCTCTGACCCCCTCTCAACTGCCCCTCCCCACTAAAGGCCCCTCCGCCTCTGCACATCCCCCCACCCTCCCAGCCTCCTTCTACCAGGCCTCGTCCTCTCACACCTCCATTCACACCTCCTTCCGACGCCCTTCCTTCGTTTCCTCATCCCTCTGCGGCACTCGTCCCCAACCCCATTGCCACCCCGCTGCAATTGCTGCATGTCCCTCTCTCACTGCACGCAACGTGAACCTCTTGCACTCCGCACACACTTCCACCCCTACAGACCCTCACACACTGACACCCACCACACACTCCGGCACACACCCGCTGTGCACACGCACACACGCCCTGGCCATGACCAAACATCAAACAGCAGACCTTGGAGCGGCAGCAGGCTAAGGAGGGGCCGCACAATCAATCACATATCGGTGCACCATTTGTGTAAGCAAGCACTGCACTGCCAGCCAGGGAGCGTTCGTGGTTCACTGCTGGAGACAACAAGTGCAATGAAAGATAAGTGCCAGACCTGACTACACAGTTAGGGCCAATTTCTTGAACTTATTATCATTTGGCCAACAAAGGAGGGAAGCGAGGAATTCATATGACCATTACGGCAATTTGTCATCGATAAACCATACTCTCTGGTCCACCTGGCACCCCCAAAAGCTTGTGGCGTCCAGGAAAGGCGACCTGCTGCGTGTATCCTGACCTCGCTCGCCTATCCTCCCCATCGCCTGCCAGCACCGTCACATTTGCCGCGTCGCCTACAAGTAGAGTAGAAGTTGGCTGCACACTTGACCAATCAAGAGTCACAAAGTTGGCTGTATGCATGGATTTGTCTGTGCTGTTACTTGTGACCAAACTGTTTTGATTACATACTGTGTTATGGTGCAGTACATGCTACAAAACTGGTGATGTTTGCAACCTGTAATGATGTCACAAAACACCGCGGTCAATAACCTGTTGGTACAAAACACTGAAACAAGCGTTTGATGGCACTATTTATTGGGTCAGTAAGAAATACAGTACCCAAAAGGGGACTAGAGAGGGTGTGTTTACAGTGTATGTTACTGTTCAATGCGGCATATTGGATGGTTGGATCAACCAATGACAGGACGAGTGACCTAGCTGCTTCGCTTGTGGCCATTGCCACGCTCCCCTGCCATTCACATTGCAATCTCTGCCTATTCATGCCCAGGTTGCTGTCACTTACGGTATG